GGCGCAGCGGTGGCGAAGCGCAGTGGCGCAGCGGTGGCGAAGCGCAGTGGCGCAGCGGTGGAGGAGGATGCGTAGGAGCGGCTGGCGACCACCGCCGAGCGGAGCAGCGAGCGGTTCAACGACGAAGCCATGGTGATGCCTTCGGCTTTGATGGAAGGTATGGAGATGATGACCAGGGTGAGGGTAGGAGAAGAGGATTGCAGCACGGCCTCGTCGGTTGATGGCGGCGCTGCTCCAAGCGGGCTTGACCTGGCTTCTCGCGCAGAGGCGGAATGATCGCGCGGCTGCCGGGTTGGCTGGAGCATCAGCATCAGCAGCAGCAGCACATGTTGCGGCTGCCAACGGCTGCCAACCTCTCGTTCTTTTTGGTCGCGCGATTTGAAATCAGCCTCGCCTTGCGCCCGACTTGGCCCTGACCCACAAGGCGCAATTCAAACCCGATCGACGTTGAATTCATTCAGGTCCGTACTTTGAATTTGCCAATTTCGCGAGCTTTTTTCGCATCTCCAAAGCCGTGGTGTGCCTATGGGCGGCGAGAGAGACGACCAATGACAGGCGCCTGAATTGGTCATACCCGCACTTACAAGTCGCATCTCACAATTCTCTGGATCGGGAGCTCCAAAAAAAAGGTGGCTGGAGCGCGGGCAGGAAGAAGTGCGAGACGAGGGCGAGGGCGATCTGCCTTGCTCGCGCTTTGGTAATGGCAGGGAGAGAGAGAGCGGAGAGCGAGAGCCGGGTTAAGATGGAGCCCAGCCAGCAGCCACTCACTCATTCACTCAAACAAGCCAGCCCAGAGTCAAGTTACAGTCGACAGCCGCGAGCCATCGTCGACCGGCAAGGACTGCGACTCCACTTCACCTTGTCTTTTGCCTCTTGTCTTCTGCTCACCTTTCGCATCTGTTCGGCCACTACACCACTTCGACCATGGCTGCTCTTCGCACTTCCTCGCGCTCGCTGCTGCGCTCCGTCGCTGCGGCTGCAGCTCGCTCCAACACCGTCGCCGTCGCCAGCGGCTCGTCTCGTGCCAGCGCAGTCCGCGCGCTCTCCACCTCGGCCTCGCGTGCCTCGGATTCGCTCTTTGTGCACCGCAACACCGACTACAACAACCCAGACATTCCCTTTGAGTTCAACGAGGAGAACCTCAAGATGGCCCAGGAGATCATCTCGTACTACCCGCCCCAGTACAAGAAGGCCGCCGTGATCCCGCTGCTCGACCTCGGCCAGCGCCAGAACTCGGGCTGGACCTCGATCTCGGTGATGAACTACGTCGCCAAGCTGCTCGAGATGCCGCCCATGCGCGTCTACGAGGTCGCCACCTTCTACACCATGTTCAACCGCGAGCCCGTCGGCAAGTACTTTATGCAGCTCTGCACCACCACCCCGTGCATGCTCGGCGGCTGCGGCTCCACAAAGATCCTCCACGCCATCCAGGACAAGCTGCAGATCAAGCCCGGCCAGACCACCGCCGACAACAAGTTCACGCTCGTAGAGGTCGAGTGCCTCGGCGCATGCGCCAACGCGCCCATGGTCCAGATCAACGATGACTACTTTGAGGACCTCACGCCAGAGTCCATGGTCAACATCATCGACAAGCTCAGCGCAGGCGAAAAGGTCAAGCCCGGCCCGCAATCCGGTCGCCACTCGTCCGAGCCCGCCCAAGGTCGCACCGCCCTCACGTCAGAAGTAAGTTTCCGCCTGCCTTCAGCCCTCGCACCTCGTGGATATGCCGCTGACTCCTGCTTTTTTCTCGACTGCAGCCTTACGGTCCGGGCAAGCACTGTGTTCCCGAGTTCGCCTGATTGTTACCACACCAGCACTCTCACTCCATGCTCGCACACACTCACACAAGCCTAGAATGCCGAATACCTCCGATCCACCTTTGCACGCCCGCGTCCAAGTCGGACTCGGTCACCTTACCAAGCCGACATTCTCAGAGAGATGCATGCAGCCACGAGCTTTGCACACAGCGATTGCAAGCAAAGAGGGTTCTTTTTGACATGAGAGACGCATCTAAGACACAGTGGATCTGCCTGACGCATACCGATCGCTTCGGACAGACGACTGGGTTCAGAAGGGGAAGAACTTTGTGGGGTGGCAAGTTTAGGCCGACACCATGAGCGAGGCGAGGCTGGCTTCTGTCTGCACGACCTCGAGCGCCTGCTGCACCTCGAGGCGTTTGCGCGACGCGGCGAGCCAGTCCGAGGCGAGCAGTTTTGGCCAGCCCTTGAGCTGGTTGAGCTCGCGCGTGGCCGAGTCGAGGTCCTTGCGGTCGAGGTAGTACTCGGCCCTGGCCAGCACCGACGGCACATCCTCGCCCGGCACCAGTCCCTTCTTGTGGAACAGGATGGGCGACAGCGCCGCGCTCGCTAGGTGAGACAGCACACCTGCCGTCTCGGGCGCCGGGACGAGCGAAACCTGGCGGACGCGAGGACCCACCTTGTCGTCGAACCACTGCTTGAGCGTGGTCCACGACTCGACACCCGTGTCAGCAGCGCCGCTCGCATCGAGCGCCTCGATGGCGGCCGCAAGCACCGGGTCGTCGCGAGCCTTGGACGTGCCCTTGAGCACTCGCAGCTGCTCGGCAAATGGCACCTTGGTGGCCGAAGCCTCGTCGAGCGCATGCTGCACCGCACGCACCGCCGTCCACAGCGTGTGCACCGACACATTCTCGTCCAGCACGTTGCTGTTGTCCAGGCTCACCTTCTCGAGGCTCTTGAGCTCCGTCGCCAGCTCGTCCAGCTTGGCCAGACGTCCACCGCGCTCCTCCTCCACCTTGGCCTTGATGTCCTTCATCCATCGACGCTGCAGCTCGATGCCTTGCGCGATCACCTCCTCCTTGAGTCGCTCGTTGATGATCTGGCTCTGCGTGGCAAGCTCCTTCTCCAGCTTCTCCTTGAACTGCTGCATCTGCTTGGAACGCTCCTCCTCGAACGACTTTTGCCAGTCCGTCTCGCGGCTCGACAGCTTGTTGGCCGCCTCCTCCGACTGCTTGGAGATCTGCGCCTCGTATCGCTTGGCCTGCGCCGCCAGGCTGTTCTCGACGCGCTTCGCCTCCTCGCGCTTGATCGTCTCCAGACGCTGGCTCAGCTTCTCCAGGTCCACCTGCGCATTCTCGAGCACTCCCTTGGCCTTGGCGCCCGACGAAGGCGTCTCCTTGAGGAACGTCGTGAGCTCGTCGATGGTGCCGGCGAGCTGGGCGATCATGGGCTCCGATCCCGAAAGGCTCTTGATCGATGGCGCGAGCAGAGGCAGCTTGGGCGCCTCGGGGTCAGGGCGCAGACGAGCCGTCGGGTGGTCGGGGGCCTGGAGACCTCGGTCGCGACGAGGAGCTGCGTAGCCTGCAGGAGGCTCGTGGTTGAGCGGCAGCTCGCCCGTGTAGGTCTCCTTGACCGCCTCCTTGGGACCCTTGCCGGCAGTGGCGCTCTTGGACGGAGCGGCCTTGGTGTTGGCACCGATGTCGGTCATGACCTGTACGCTGTCGACGGCGCGCTGGATGACGTTGCGACCATCCTTCTTGGCATCGGCCGCCTCACCACGCACCTTGGACTCGGCCCTCTCAGCGGCCGCCTTGGCACGGTTGACGAGCTCGGCGGTCTTGTCCTGCACGGCCCTGAGGGCGGACTCGCCCTCCTCCTCGGCCTTCTTTGCACCAGCTTTGGCCTTCTGTGCGAGCTTTTCGGCCTCTTCCTTGGCCTTGTCGCGGACCTCGGCGACGCGGAGTCGTGCATCGCGCTCGTCGCCGATGCTCTCGCTGGCACCAGCGTCGCCGCCAAGCACGCGTCCGACGGCGCCGCTCACGCTGCCGTAGGCGGTCTTGGTAGCATCGATTGCCTTGTCACCGTAGCCGCCAAGGTTAATGTTCTTGATCTCCTGACCAACGTCGTGGGTGTCGAGGTAGTCGATGATGCGCTCGCCTCCCGGAACGCTCTCGACGAAGAAGTCCTGGTAGCGATCGTTGTTGAGCGCGGCGACAGTCGAGACACCGTAGAAGAGGGTGGCGCCCACTGTCGAGTAGAGCACAAAGCGGCCGAATCCGGACCTGGTACTTCCATCGGCGCCAGTAGCGTAGGTTCGTGCGCCAGCAGCGGTGCGCGATCGAGCAACCGACGAAGGGCTCAGTGCAGCGGCCCTGCGCAGAGCGGCGGCGCGGTTCATCATGACGACGCAAAGTCTCGAGACCCGATGTACGGCCGGAAAGGGTACAGTCGTGGAGTCGAGGACGGGTAGAGGCCGAGGATAAGTAGTGACTAGGTAGAGACCAGGATGGGCGAAGAAGCAGTCTCGATGACCAGCGGCCGCGATTGTGGAGGACTCTTCGCGATTCGACACAGCTGTGCTGCCAGGCAATCGGTTGACCAGCGCTCTCCTGGCGGGCGCACTGACGTCCCAGGAAGAATTGCAATCGAACGGACGCTGCCTCCTCCCTCTTCCTCTCCCTCTCGACTTGTCCAGGTGCCTCATCGCAATGCCGCGACCGGATCGGGCGGCCGTTGCCAGTTGGGCAGGGGCTGCGATCCTAAGTTGGAATTTCCGAGTTTCCAAAATATTGACTGCCGTCCTGCGGTTCGATTTTCAGAGACGAGTCAAGCGGAACAGCACAGCAC